AGCGACGCGAGAGAGAGAGACAGAGAGAGAGAGAGGGGGGGGGGAAGAAGGGGTAGGCGGGAGAAAGTGGGAGCTGGAGAAGGAGTGGGCAGCGACGCAAGAGAGAGAGAGAGAGAGAGAGAGAGAAAGAGAGAAAGAGAGAGAGAGAGAGAGGATCGGAACGATACAGAGAAGATTAGCATGTCAAAAAAAAAAAGGTGCGAATGTATCTGATACAGACAATGGACCAGATACATTGGAGCAGCAGACACAGAGAGAGAGAGAGAGAGAGAGAGAGAGAGAGAGAGAGAGAGAGAGAGAGAGAGAGAGAGCAGATCCGACTGGCAAGGACGATTGGAATAAGTGTCTGAATCTGGACGTGTTCCACGCAGAGATGCAGAAAAGCAGATCAATCACAGTTTTCTGCACCTGGCAACGAAGACGTCCAGATTCAGACACTCATTCCATCCTCTTTGCCAGTGGGATCTGGCCCAGACAGAGAGAGAGAGAGAGAGAGAGAGAGAGAGAGAGAGAGAGAGAGAGAGAGAGAATGGGGTGGGTGTTAATGGGGCACGTGGCACGTTCGGTGGCTTTTCCTGTACTGACAAAGTGGGATTGTTTTCCAGCCCCAACTGATTCCCCCCAGAAACCAAAAACGGAAAAAAAAAAAAAAAAAACGCGAGCGCCTGCTACAGGTACCTGCTCCAAGGCCAGGCCAGGGGATATTAAAGGGAGGTACCACTAGCCCACGCCACCTCCCGTTTTTGCCAATTAAGAACCCATAGGCCGTCAGAACGCATAGTTTACTGTTTTTCTTGCCGTTTCGAACTGCTCCCGGCCCCAATCTTGCAAGGGAGTGTTATTTCTGCGAATTTTGAACTGTGCAGTGGTCACAGGAGCAGTTGTCTCTTTTTTTTCACATTTCTTTTCTTCCCTCAATTCCACCCCGGCAAGCACAGTTACCACCACTCCAACAGAAGCTAAATTGACGAACCGAAATGTGCATTTTCCCGAGCCTGCAGTCTACAGTGTTCTTCGTTTCTTTCTTTGAGAGAGGTACTGGTGCCAGCCTACCTCATGCCATTTGCTGGCATGAAAAAGGAATTAAGGGAAAAACCAATTGAAACCGAAGTGTTGTACCTCGTGCCATTTGCTGGCATGAAAAAGAAAAGAGAACAGCTATGCACATTTTGGAGAACAGGGAAGGTGGTAGGTACCTTTCAAGTTGAACCTTTGGGAGATGAGAGGCGAACAGCTTCAGCTTCAGCTTCAGCTTCAGCTGCAGAACAGCTTCAGCTTCAGCTTCAGCTTCAGCTGCAGAACAGCTTCAGCTTCAGCTTCAGCTTCAGCTGCAGAACAGCTTCAGCTTCAGCTTCGGCTGCAGAACAGCTTCAGCTTCAGCTGCAGATTGACGCGGTTAGTGTACCAAAGCACAGACTGGGAAAAATTATCAAGGTACAGACTTTTGGTACGGGTGTTGGCCTACGACAGGCTCGGGTAATCCACTCTCCCTCCCTCCCAGGGCGGGACGTCTGGACAGTGCACGGATTGGTTGAATCAAAACTGCAGACACTGCAGAATCTAAGATTATCCTCCTGGACAACTCTAGACCAGGGGTAGGGTATAGTCTTCAATGTATGGCTTCAACACTAACACCCCAAGCCTGGTCTTCCAGGAACAGGAGATCACAGTCTATGGACTTCCGCACTTTTTCATCCACCTCTGGGTTCCTCTGTACTGCCAGATGATACATTGTCAACTTGAAGGAATTACGCAGGTCAAGATTGCAGGGCTGCAGTGGACGCATACTACGCACTTGTGTGTTCCAACAGCAGAATTGTGTTCAGAAAAAGGTATGGTAATTCTCGTCTTCTGCGACCAATGCCCCTACCCCAAAGTAGAATCCTCTGCACACCTGTGGTGGGAATGTGTGGTGGCACGAGGCCTCTGGGACTGGGTTCAAGATTTATGGAGGGAAGCCTATGGTTTCTCCACTTTGTGGAGTCAAACTTTTGTTATCACGGGAGTTACAGACACGTCTACTGGAAAGGAAATTCCCTTGAAATACCGAGTCATTGCCTTCTGGTTACTATGGTTAGCAAGAAGAGACAGACTATTCAATGGGAAAGCTACTGCCGCTGTGGCTCCAAGAAACAAATTCAGACTTTCAGTACGAATTCTGATTTTTGCAGAGCACACGTCGAAAGCTAAACAAAAGCCTTTACCGATGGCCGTGAGCTAAGTGCTCAAAACACATGACGTTGGGAATCCCTGTGACACCCAACCTCATGCCCAGCGCGACTTCCTGTTTCGGAGTGGGAGTGGGCCCAGAAGTGCGTAAGAGGGGTGTGCCAAGGATTTTAGGAAAGTGGGGGCGGAGTCCCAGGTCAGAACTGAGATCTTCGATGTCAAGTTCCAAAGACAGGAGTGCAAGTGGTTCGTCGGACGAATAGATTTTCTGTTTTACACTTCTCAGGACCAGGCGGCTAGTTTCGCCGGCCTC